TGAAATATCACTTATTCTAGAAACATTAAATTTCCATTCAGTATTTTATCTGCATTAAATCAATTATTTTTTTGAAAATAATTTGGCTTAAAAGCAGCTGGTGGAGATTAAAAGGTTTTATTGTTTTGAAAACAATGTCAGTCTCTTTTTTTAACACAGAACCCATTTTAATATGCCATGCAATAATGTGAAACGTGCTGTAGTTTCTGACAGTGTTCATATACCATCTATGATGTATTGTGTCAGAGTTATTTTCATGTATTATTTATCACATACTAGAAATTTCTGGTTTTTTTTTACTGTATTATTATTGTTGTTATTATTATTATTATTATTATTATTATTATTATTATTATTGTCATTATTATTAAACATTTTCACCAACTTAAAACTGTAATAGTAACAATACGAAATCTAGAGTGATTGAATTCTATAGGGTGTCTTATTTTGTTTTGATCCATATTAATTTTTATGTTAATACCAAAAATATCGGCTAATTATAACGTTTTACTGAAAATACCAAGTAAAGCCTGGGTTACCGATATTTTGACCATGATAAGAAAGGGAAACTGGAGGAAAAATAGACAGAGGGAAATAAGCCCCTTTTGTGAATTATTTTGTGACTTGTTTTATTGAAAGGGTCAAGAGTTTGCTAGCAGCTGTTACATTTTGTTTCTTTACATTTCTGTGTGCAATTATTGTAAAACTACAGGCAGCATTTTAAGTGAATCTTTTATGTCTTATTTTGACAATATTCCTTTTAACTCTCTTGAAATAATAAATTATTTAAGAGCCCTGGTAAAAATCATTTAAGCACCAGTGTAGTATAGTGGCTTGTGAGGTTTCAATTATTTAAAATTAAAAGTGAGATATAGATAATCCTACAACTGGATGTAATTAATGAATAGTTTGATATATTAGCCATTTCTACCAAAAAATTGCTTTTTTAGCCAGATGATAGTTGCAAATTGTAAGCTTGCATACAATTGGTGATCATTCATTGAATAACAATAATACATTGTATATGGGGCCAAAAGACTGTAAAAGCATGTACATGTCCTTGTTGCAAAATAATATTTAATAATTATTCTTTGAAATCGAGATGAATAGTGGCTGAATATTTACTGAGCTGTGGAGTGAGGTAAATATTCCTAAAGCCACTATTCACCAAGATTGAAAAGAGTAATTGTTTTAGTATATACACACAAAGTGATCTCAACGAAATCAGAGAGGAAACCATTAAAAAGTAAATCTATAAAAGCAAGCCTCTGGAGAAATTTTAAGCACCGGTACGCCCCCAAAATTTTTTAGTGCAATCCCTCACTTTGTAGCTTTAGTTTGCAATTGATATTTTTTCAGAACAGCCGTTTTACGGAAATAATTATGTAACATTGGATTCTCATACAAACACTGTAATCTCTCACACGTTTGCCTACTTGTCAAGATGGTGTCGAAAGCCGTGACAAGGTCTATTTGCCGTGATAGTCAACTACGTAGTTCTTTCCAATTTGGCCGTATTTATGATGGTCAGTAAAACACGGATTACACTAGACTGTGGACTCAGTGGACTGGGTATATAATATGGACTAAGTACAAAATGCAGACTATGGATTGTTGTATGTTTTAATAAACTGGACTGCCCAATTATCACGCACAACCACAATTGAAGGTGTCAGATGTCTTGCAAAGCCTGTTTAGTGGTAAATTACCCTGAAATAGCATAAATTGTGGGAAATGTATAATATTATATTTAATAATTTAATGTCCGCTTCCAGTCGCTTGAATTGCACAATTTTTGACAAAATTTTTGCAACTTTCCTCAAATTGTTTGTTATATTGTAATTTGCTTGCCCACTGGCACATGCCAGTGGATTTCAATTTTTTTTTCCTGCCCTGTTATGGTGAACTGTTTGGCCACAATCCTTGATGGTACTGAATGTGATACGTGTATAAATCAACAACTTACTATTATATGACTGTTTGGCCTGGTCTCAAACGTTAATGCCCCAGCTTGGTAGGCAAACAATATTATTCAATGACAACTAACCCTGGCTAGCTAGTCTTTTCCACTCTTTACTTAAACTGAGCAAAGTAGGAATAAGTGAATATGTTGTTTGCAATATGCCGTAAAAGATTTTGATATCAGTAAATTAATCAATGAATAATATTTACTCAGTGGCAAGTTATTGGACTGATTCATTGATATTGTGTTTCAGTTCTAATTGAGACTGTAAAAGAGATCCGCTGTGGAAAAAACACAGAAGTCTTCCGTGAAATGGACAGAGATGATTTCCAAGAAGACTGTGCATTTTCTATTATTTACAGTGACAGTTTTGAGACTCTGAATCTTGTTGCATATTCTCCAGATGAGGCAAATATCTGGGTTACAGGACTTCGGTGTCTTGTAGACTCAGAGAAAGGTAAGAATGCCTGTACTTTGTATGTTTGACAGCCACATCTTTTCTTTTTAACCCTGGTTTCCAGGGGCGCTTTCTATTTAACCAAAACTTCCAGTTTGAATTTGTGGCAAATTCCAGCAGCGAGTGGAACAAATTTCTCCCCAAAAGTTTTCCCTCCATTCAATTTTTCTCCTGGAATTTTCAGAACTTGAGTGAATGAACGAATGAACTTTCTTTATCATCGATGATGTGGGGAGTGGTCACCCAGTCTCATGAGCCAGTGGCTCATGTATAATGTGCTCGACTAATTGAAAAAATTAAAATAAAACAATGACAGTAAGTTACCATGGGAAAATACAATTGAATAATTGATAAATATCATAAATAAGATTCAAAAATCCTTATAAGATATCCAAAAAAATTACCGGTAATCAAGAAATTAATCTGATGAAAAAACCCATGGGTTTGTATATAATTTATGATAAACAAAGCCACAAGATACAGCTCTGACATTGGCATGCTTTGTTCTTCACATTACTTTACAACTTTTGGTTGAATGGTTCGCATTTCAGAAATTCAACGATTCTGGGACTTTCTGGAAATTTTCCCGGGGAATTTCCATACCATTCGCCACTGTTTCCAAATTTTCAGAAGTTTTGGTCAAATGGAAAGCACTCCTCATTAAGCCATTCTCCCCTGAGTCACCGGTAACCGCCTGTATGTGCAGATCCACGTCCCTTCTACTGCTTGTTATGTCATCAGTTTTAATGGTCAGGGACGACTTTGTCCGCAAACTTGTGCAGAGTGAAGAGATCTTTCAAAGCATACCAGAATGAGCACAGTTCAGTCAAGGGCACCATCAAACTACATTGTTATTAATTATTGGTTTATTTTCTATTAATTTACAGCTAGCAGTCCTGTGGAAAACAGACAACAGATTCGTGATAGATATCCTTTTAAAATAATGTTTTTGTTATAAGGGGGTGCTATGAAAATACTCAGCTTGTTCTATTCTTTTCAAGTAACATCCACTAATATTATTGGGAAAGGACTGCATTCCCATAAGAATCAAGTATCTTGTTTCAAATCGACTAATGAAATCTTCCAACAGTAGCCTCTGCTTTTTAAAAAAGAAATCTTGAATGGTGTATTACTGACATAAGCGTAAAGTTCACTGTTGAAAAGCACAGCCATTGACTTTTAATTACCTAGTTTACCCCAGTTTTCTGGAGAATTTCTCATTCCCAAACATGCCAGCCCATGTACATTTCTTTTTTTAAAGCAATCTGCCAGCTCACTACAGTTTTTTTCTTCTAAGTTTTTTGAATCCTAGTATCCTGTGATATAGAGTGTTTTCACTCACGTGGCCAGCATCTATGCAAATTTATTGGAACAAAAGAAAGCGTTTGCATAAGAAAAGAGTTCAACTCCCACAGGACTGGTTTGGGACACCAACATGGCCGCCGTTTCATTGTTTTGGGACACCAATATGGCCGCTGTGACGTCATGTGAAAACACTCTATATATTTATTAATCACCAACTCTCAGGCCTGCAAATTAAAATCTTCTCATACCTACAGATGAAAAAATTTTTGCTGTTAATCCACTGAAATAAACTCAAACAAAGGGATGTAAGTATAGAAAAGTCTGTGAAAGGTCATACTTCGCAAGAAATATTCATGTTAGAAGGGAAAGCATTGGAACTTAAACTTCATAAATCTTGGAATGTCTTCAAAAATCTTTAGATATGATCATCTCATGGCACTCTAAGGGAATAAAATTAATCTCCTGCCTCTGATTCAAAAAAAGTTGCCAGGTATATCTTGTGAGTGCAAGTCCCCTTATCTTTATTGTTTTTGTGCTTAACTGTATTAAGCATTATAAACGTTCAAAGTTTTAGTGGTGTTATTAAAATATACATATTCCTTGACATTATTTACATGGTTGAAAGAGCAGTTTATTTTAGCTGACAATGGAGGAAAAGGGAGATTAAATGAAAAGGAAGTGCTGTCTGTTGTTAGACAACTTAATGAACAGATTCCAGAAAGTGTCATTAAACAGAGATTTAAGGTTGGTAAAGGCCTCTTTGTACTTATCCAACATCTATTTAATGTGTTTCTTTCTTAATCTCCCATGCTGACACTCTTATAAACTGAGCCTGTGTATGGGTATTTCCGACGAAATTGAAGAAGCAACAATCATAGTGATTCCAATCAAGTTTGGCATTAGTAATCTGATGATGGCAAAGAAATCTGCCAAAAAGTGTGCTGTCAGAGTTTTTGTTTCTTTCTTGATTTTCTAGTTTCCATCATTGTTGTTGTTGTGCGAGCTTGCCAGTAGTGTTACCTCATGAAACTTGAGTCTTTTCATGTGACAATTTTGCCGGAGAAACCGATGATTTGATGCAACACGCACGACTAAATCTATGTCCTCAGTTACCCACACAGAGGCTCTAAACTTCCTCAAACAAACAAGCAAACAACTGTGAGATAATCTCTCTTCTTTTCTTCTGAAAGATTGACTCCATTTGCAATGCCTAACCAATATTTGTGGTTACTTTCCTGGATAGAGATGCGCTGAATTTCAACCAGTTTTCCTTTGGACAAGCAGGTCCCACATTTCTACTTACCCGGGGGCCATTGCTTGCTTGTTTCAGTTAATGATTTAGTAACAAGGTAACTTGCTTGGAGTTGCCCATTTGGCAAGTGAGTGTAAAAGTTACTTGCCCAGCAAGAAATCTACTTGTCCTGGATGAACCAGGCTGGATATTTTTCCAGCCCGTGGTGTCTTTGGCTATTTTATGTGCTAATAGTGTCAAAATGTCTTATTTTTTGGTAGGAAGCAGTTGCTGTTAGTTCAAATTCACAAAAGAATAGTCTATCTAGAGATGAGTTCCTGTCATTTTACAAAGAACTTACTACAAGACCTGAAGTCTACTTTCTTCTAGCAAGGTGTGTAATATTAATTTTACAGGCCTCCAGAGACTCCTTTTGTTGACCAGTCCCTTTGATTCAGGGGGAGGGGGGGGGATGAGAGCTTTCACCAATGGTAAATCAAGCGTAAGAAAGAGGAAACCATCAATGTGAAAAACAACAGTCATGTTTTTTAAAAAAATTAAATTTAAGCACTTTAACCCACAAATGTTTCCAGCTAGGTTGTTCAAAACAGTGCTTTATTAGGGTTCTATGTCACATGGAACCCATTAAAGGTCTTAAGAATTTGTGAAAAAAACATGTCAAAAACATTAATTGCAGCAGTAATATGGGATTATCAAGTGCTGTAACAGCTTGGGCCTCTGTTCGCCACTTTAGAAACTAGAAAGAAACTGGTTAGAGTTAACTTTCACAAAGACCTCTGGGATTGTTACTAAGGACGGGAAACAAATTGGCCAATAGCTGACCGGGACATCACCAGTAACAATCCCAGAAATCTTTGTGATTGCTAACGAGGCTCAGTTTCCTTCTCATTTGTTAACCCTCTAAGTCCCAATGGTGACCAAGATCAATTTTCTCCTAACAATATCCATACACTGTCAAGAGATAAGTTATGAGAATAAATGAAATGATCACCCATGAGAAAATGCCTTGATCTATTATCAAATTCTCTCAACTAATTCTTTAAGGAAATGTATGGAGATCAGTTTGGAGAATTTGTATGTGGATACTGGGGCTTAAAAACAAATTTTTTTCTTTATTTTTTGGAAGATATGCAAGCAATAGTGACTTTTTAACAACTGATGATCTACTGCTATTCCTGGAAGCTGAGCAAGGGGTATGTAATAATATGAACTCTTTTCTTTGTGTAAATCACATAGTTAAAATAGCAGACTGGTTATGAAAGATCAAAATGACGGGACTACAGTTTATGTTGCGGTTCACTGACTATGCGAAACCATTTGTATTTGGTTCTGAATAAGTTAATGGGGATGTTTCTATTGGTCAGCTTAAAATGGTAGCAATGCTATTGAATGATATGCATGGTCAAGTCCAAAACAGCTAACAAGGATGTTTTCTGGTGGGCTAATTCTAGCCCCCTCAATCTGCAGGCAACTCCTTTTGAAACAGTTACACTGTCCGTGAGGAATCTGAGATCGAGAAAAGCAAAGAGGCGAAGTCACTGTTACTCCCCGTTCGTTCCCCATTCTCCCACCATGTTGCCTGCACAGGAGGCTAGGCTTATTCTTAACCATTGCGCTTTGTCTACTATGTCTCATTTGTAAAATCCAACTAGTGGTCCATTATGAATGTTGCATTCTGATTGGTTGAACTGCTACTAGGCTATATGTTATAGCCCACTTGTAGCGAAAAGCACCGGCTTCGAAAACCGAAACAATGGCAGCTGAATCGCGTTTTGCTAGCTGAAGTTGTTTTGTCTCGATATTTTTGACAAACTAGTTGGATTTTACTTAAACAATTACTGGTATTCCTCCCACCCTCATGACCTCTGAGTCAATAGCCGATTCTGCCTTCTGCCTCATGGGGTATTGACTTAGAGACCATTGGGGCGCGAGGAATAATATTGTTAAATATATGCTATGCTGTAATAATGTTGAATTTAAAACCAATCTCTTGTTTTCCACCACTGAAGATGTTAAAGTCCCTCCTTGTATTTTTGTCAAACCTCTAATGTCAGATCACTATTTTCCTCTTTCTTTATCTGCAGTTGTCAAGAGTTGGCAAAGAGCATTGTCTAGATATAATAAAACGATGTGAGCCAACGGAAGAAGGCAGGAGGTTAAAATGTTTAGGAATAGATGGTGAGTTTCATAACCTATCTAGCAACGGATGTGAGTTTTCAGGATTGCAAGCAATCCAAGGAAATCGTTAAGTAATGCTGAAAATTTCCCCTCCTGACATGTGCTTGTCATTCTCTGATCAAGGTAATAAAAATAATAATTTATCTCTGAATATTGAAAGAGCTTGGCAACAGCATTAACCACCTGCCACCTAGGTTTTAGTCGATTCTATTTCTTTCGATAATGTTTGCAAATAACTGAAAATTGCACAAAGTGGTCAAGTTAACGTGTCCAGCTCCTTCATCGAGAAAAGATTTTCTGGGAATGAATGTTCACAAGTCTCTGAAAGCGTGGAATTCAAACTATACCTGTCATTCTTTTCGTCATCATTTTAATATGCACATGAATCCTCTCTTATCCTGACCAAAGGAAATAGGTCTCCCAATGTATAATGGCGAAAAATATACTATAGTTCTTTACAGAAAAGTGTAATTATTTTTTCTCTCTACTCCACAACAGCAGAACATAGAAAGAGATAATGAATTTTTTAAAGATAAAAGACCATATTAAGACAGACAAAACTCACTTTGATTATAGATCGATAGCACTGTGTTATTAATTTATCAATTTTTTTCACCTGCAGGATTCACACAATATTTATTAGAAGATGATTGTCATATTTTTGACTGTGAACATGGTGAAGTTTGTCAAGACATGACACATCCATTATCTCATTACTTCATTGCATCTTCACATAACACGTGAGTTTTTTCCTTGTCTGGATATATTGTCTGAATGTACTGGGTTTTTTAAATTTCAGTCATTGGTTATCTTTAGTATCACTCGCTGGGCTGCCACTGATAGCCTTTGTCTGGGTATTTCCCGACGTAATCAAAGTTGCGACGATCGCTATTGATGCAACGACCATCTTACAGATTAAAGCGATGATTAGGAAATGATCGCAGTACAGTGCGATGACAGCAAAGAAATATAACAAAAAACTGTGTGATACACCTTCAGATTTTTTTTTTGCTTGTTAAACCCATTGTTTTTTGATAATTTCGTTTCCGTCTTGGTACGCGCCGACGGCGACGGCAACGAGAACAGCGAAAAAGCCGAATAGGTTTAGATTAGCAAACAGCAACTCTGCACGTGTCATGCTTTTTGGTACATTTCTTAGCCGTCGTTGCGCGACTACGACGTGAAATGACCTAATTTCACGTTTTGCCGAGGACTGGAACACAAGACAACAAGTTTCTTTTTTATTTTCTTGAACTTTCATAGAGTCCTTTAGAATTCAACTCCAGAAAATTTTACAAACATTTGGCGAATTAAACGAGATGGAACAAGCCAGATAAAGTTTGAGGCAGAGCGAATACACTTTTTAAGTGACGTTTCGTAGCCGTCGCCGTCGTAGTTGCTCAATCTCCCCAGCAGCGCTATCACGCTAAAATATTCTTGAAAATGAAAGTGACTATTTCGTTAAAAAGCTGATGGTCTGATAGGAAACACGCGGCAAAGCGACGTCTGCAGGTACCCATAGACAGGCTCGCACTGATTGTGATTCATGTTAACAGATTGTATTCAGTGGTGATCATTGATTTATTGCAGGATCAATTGTGAACTTTTAACAGTTTTAAACAATTTTTGTCGCAGAATTTTATTTGTTTTAACCCATTCACCCCTGAACCGCTTGGAAAAGCCCGTGGCGTATCCACGTTCATCGTTCCTCTTGTTTCCTCACCGGTATAAACGGTCATAGAAACCTAGGGGAAAAATTCTTTCAAACCATAGCAGCAAAAAGAACAGCGCAAAAAACATGAAAAGTTTACCCGAAAATTCCAATGAAAATCTTGTTCCAAGTTTTTTAAAAAACTGTCCCACCAAAATGAAGCCTAGTTAAAGCCCAGCCCAAGGGGAAAAAACGGGGCCAGACAATTGAAAGAAGAAGGGAGGAGGGAAAGCGAAACGTGAAAGCTAGAGTGCAGATGATGATGATGATGACGATGATTGTTTTTGCTGTCACTGTTTTGCAGATACTTATTAGATAATCAACTTAGTGGACCTTCAAGCGTCACAGCTTACATTGATGTTCTTAAAAAAGGCTGTAAATGCGTAGAATGTAAGTATTACACGAGTTGCAGAATTGACTTTCCCCTCTCTTTTCCAACTTAATCCAGTGATTTTGGTTAAGCGCGTTTTGAAATATGATTATCCTATATTCAAAAGGTAGTTACTATTTTCCCGCTGATGTCTTTGGTCCTAAATGTGACCATTAGTTCGTTATTTTCCTTAAAACACATCACCGAGATTACCTGTCTTGGTATTTTAACAACCAAATTTGTCTTTTTATAACTATAATAAATTTATGGGGACATGATAACAGATTAGAGCAGTTCTGTGGATAAGATTTTTTACCTTTTCGCACAACTTTTTGGAAGATTAAAGTTCACCCTTCGTCGTTTTTTAACAACCTTACCTTGACTCCCGAAGATTAGTGGACCGTTTATTTGTCGCGTTTTAAGTGTTGTAAAGCCAAAACTGACATAGGTTACCCTGACCAATTACGAAAAGCGGCCACTTTAAAACAAACCAATCAGATCAAACGCGTTGGTTTTGTTTCCCTTCTTATTGGTCGAGAAAGTGACACGTGATGTTAGTTAAGCCAGTCACAAAACGCTGCAATGCAAAACCGAAGAAATTACTGACAAAATAATTTACTTAACTTTATTGAAAGCTTCTGTGATGCAATTCTCTAATTTTATTTTTCAGTGGATTGTTGGGACGGAAGTGGAGATGAGCCTGTTATTTATCATGGGCATACTCTCACATCCAAAATTCTCTTTCGTGATGTTTTAGAAGCTATACATGAACATGCATTCACAAAATCACCGTAAGTACGATCGCATCCTTTTAAACTTTTTCGCGATTATCCCAATTCACCCTGTTACTTGAAAGAAGGGAATTTGGTTGGAGCTGAAAAGAGGGGACCGCGCCCGAGTTCAGACAAGGTTTGTAGAATTTATCGCCTTGCCGTTCTCGTTCTCAAGTAAACTTAAAATTTGGTCATTTCACGTCGTAGTTGTGCAGGGACAGCAAAGAAATCAGTGTACAAAAAAGCGTGATGCATGTGCAGATCGAGGTGTTGCTTTGCTCATTAAACCTATTACTTTTTTTGGCGGTCTCCTTGCCGTCGCCGTCGTAGTTTCGTAAGGTCCCTATTTGAAGCTAGTCAAAGCTACATAGAAAGGAGAGAAGGTGAAAAGACTAGAGGATGTGATGTCACCGGGGATCAAACTCGGGACCTCGCGCACCGAAGGACTCGCACTAACCAACTGTGCCGCCCATGCTGCCACCAATGCTTCTTTTCATCATGTTTCAACATAGTTTGATTTTCATTTTCTCTTGTCTCCTAACACTTTTGATTCTGAATAATTAAGGTTAGGAAACAAAGGAAATTTACAATTAAACTACGTTGAAACCATTTTAACCTACATTCATTTTAAACTGCAACGTTTATAAAACATCTTCCGCAAGGGTTGTTCCTTTGCTGCCTGCCGTAAAGAAGTTCATTTCATTTCTGCAAAGTAGAGGGGAGGTACTTTGATTCTGCGGGCTGTCTTGCTATGTGTTTTATATTTTCTCATGTCTTTTCTTTTCAGTTATCCACTTATATTATCCATAGAAAATCACTGTAGTGTTAAACAACAGCAGATTATGGCAAAATATCTTAGGGAAATTTTACAAGGTAAGTTCGGTTCTGTTGGTCAATCAAAACTGCGAGATGTACGAAAACAAACTGATTTGAGATGTTTTACAACGCCTTTTTAGGTCTACTCTGATATTTGAATCGAATTGTATTACTCATTGTTAGTAACACTTGAGAAAAAACCAACCAATCGCGGTTGTTATATAATAATAGTTCAAACGCAAAAATCATTTAAAACCAAACATTATGTCAAGGCATAATGTTATTAATGTGGATACTACATGCTTTTGTTGTCTCGCTGCATAGTTGGTCACCCGACACGTGTCAACCTACCCTCTCTTTCAAGAGCCAATCATTTTTATCGCCATGAGGGAGTTTTGGTGTAAAGGAGCGTGCATTCCCGTGTTCGCTTCCTCTTGCTTTCACCATCACGGAAAAAACCTGCGGAAAAAACTTTCCCTCCCTCCTTCCCTCTTCGCCATCTGTCGGGAGACCTTCTATGAGAGCTCCCCAAGTTACTGTTAGGGTATCGGCATAAATGTAAATTAAAAGGGTGTTAAAGTACTGTATAATGTACATTTTCCCTGATTAACCCCTGGATCACATTTCTCTATAGATAAACTTTATACCATTCAACCAGGAGAAAACGAGTTGCAACTGCCGTCGCCGGAGGCACTGAAGGAAAAAATTCTTGTGAAGGTAAGTAAATGGGACCAACCTTGGCAACAGCATGTTAGGTACCTCTCATTTACCAGAAGTGGCTTTTCAAGTTAAAATTTTTCAAAAAATTCTAAAATTTATTTTCGAAAGTAGCGGCAAAAAACCTTCAACAGTTCCATTTAAAAGAAGTGCTAAAGATCGAGGATTCAACTGAATGGTCCACGGACTCAAAAGTTAGAACAACGCTACATGTTTTCGCAATACTTGTTATTGCAGTTGAACCGACGGGTAGATGTTCTGTTGTTTAAAAAAGGCATGCAAATGAGGTTAATAAGAATATGCAATGCTCGACCCTGTAAACCCGTTTCTATGACAAAACCGCTGGTAACTGTAATATCAGGTTAAGACTCTGGGTGCGATAGGGCTAAGTTGCAGACAAAAAAACTACGCGAAAGTCTGTCGCAAACTGATGCTGTTCCCTTTAAAAATCTTTCTCCATCCCTCTAGCATAGCTACATTGCTCGACGTTTTCACTAACCACTAAGAATCTACGCTCAATTACCAGCCGGTGATCGGGAAAGTGAGCCCGCAATCATCTCCCCGCCAGGGGAGGATCAAAGATCGGACTTGGGAAACTGCGGAAATCCCGCCTATTAAGGAGCTTTTATTTGCTAATTTCAGAACAAGAAGCTTCCTCCTGATGTGCAAACAGACGCTGGTGAAGTCAGCGAAGATGAAGAGGAACAAGACGAAACAGTGGTGATGAATGGTGATTGCAAACTTGAAAGACAGAATAGTAAACAAGGAAGCTTAAAAAGACAGATAGTAAAGGTGAATCCTACCGTTCCCTCATCCATTTCTTAGCTTACAGTACAGGCGTTTTCTTGATGCTCTTGAGCAGTAGAACTAGCTCGGATAATATTGTGCGCGATTCCGTCACGTGAGGCAGGGAAGGAAGTAGACGCCTCCCCCAGTACAGCTTTCTTTCTTGTTATGTTCACCCTATTGATCGCCCAAACTAATGGCACTGTCTCCTCTCCTTTATGTTCCCTCGCTTTCGAATAAAAGATGGCGACCATACGCAGAAAGTACCCAGTGTTCGCTCGCCTGGCCGAGAGAAAGGCTGGTTTTCACTAGTGACGGAGTCGGAGTCGTAAGCAGAGTCGTTTGAACGCTTATGACCTGGTGAAAATCAATAATCTTCGTCGTAAGCGGAGTCATAAGCGCGACGGAATCGGAGTCAAAAGAATCAGAACCTTTCCATTTTCTTCCGACTCCGTTTACGACTCCGTCGCTTACGTCCCGCTTGTGGTCTAGTGAAAACCAGTTTGTCGGAGTCGGAAGCAGAAGCGGAAGGATAAATCAATCACAACGCACGTTTCCACGCGTTGCGATGGGTTTAGTTCTTCCGCTCCTACTTGCGCCTCCGACGACCCATCGTAACTGATCGTAAATGACGGAGTTGTAAGCGGAATCGGAAGAATCAGAACGCTGTTTTCACTAGGTCGTAAAGTTCTACGATTGTTATTACGACTCCGACTCCGTCGCTAGTGAAAAACCTGCCTTAAGGAAGGCTTTCGACAACCCAACGATTCAGTATCATGAATGACAGTTCCTTTATGTGGTTGGCTCTCAAGCCAGAATAAACGATGTAGCGAACAACGATATTGTTTTGCTTGAACTTAATACCCACAAAACCCGAAACTCTGTCAGATACTGCAGGCAATAACACAGTCAAACATTTTTGCGGCACAAGAGTTTCAAAACTATCGAGAAACGCGCGAAGTTACTATTGAAGCATGCTGCTTCTTAACATTTTCTCTTGTTGTAGTTTGCGTTTAGGTGTTTGAGTAGAGAGTCAGATGGAATTAAGTTTGACCTGAGATTTTCAACACTGATGTTTTTCAGGATCCAAGCAAGAAACCGAAAAAGACGATTAAGTTAGCTCGAGAATTATCCGACCTGGTCACCTACTGCAAATCTGTAGCTTTTCAAGACTTCCAATATTCATCGGAAAATCGTAAGTGGTCTGAAAGAGTCTTAGTGTTATTACTAAGATGCTTCTGGAGTGCAAAGGAAGAATGTTTGTCTAGATAAAACCTTGCGCAATTTTTTCTGTGAAATAAAGAATCATAGGGCCTGTTTACATGGAGGTAGGGGACCTCAGGTTGCTAAGGTAACCCGTTGTGAGGTTACATGTACCCTTACAACCCCATCATCCCGGGGTGCACTTTCTCAAGATTTGTGAATGGTCGCTGAGCACCTTAACACAAAACATGGCGGGCAAACTTGCTGTGACCTTTAAGTAGTGTGGCTGTTATTTTTAATAATGCAAGTCCTCCGCCAAAGGCATTTGCTGCGAATTTGATGTAATACGAATCCGATCCCGGCTAGGCGGGTTACCCCACTTTGAAAAGTTTACATGGCAAAATTTGACCCCGGCTGAGAGGGTTACCCGGTCTGGCAGACCGGTTAACCCGCCCGGGCGGGTCACCCCACCTACCATGTAAAGCGACGTGATCAAATTAAAATGACATATAGTATTATCTGGACAGGCGGGTTACTTCTTCTAAGCGGGTTACCTCGCTTAACTGGGGTCCTCTATCTTCATGTTAACAGGCCCTCATTATATAGCCACCAATGAAATACGAGGTGAGCTTTCGCGCGAAAACCTGATATCTGCACACTTGAAAATAACATGTTATTTACAAATATGTAAAGATGACCCTTGCTGCGGTTGCATGGTAAATGGCGCTTTTCGCAGCCAAAATAAAAGTGTTAAAGTGAAATGGTTCGGTATTTCATTGGTGTAATGAATACAACATCACATGGCCGCGCACGCATTACATGGTTTGGTGCCCTCAGTCGTGAACTATTTTTCAACACTCGAAGAGTATCTTTTTGCGGCCATGTGATATTCTCTGTATATCAACGCATACCAGTCGCAACTGTTCTTGTATGTTAACTCCTACTTCACCAAACATTTCAGTATCGAAAACTAAACTTATTTTCATTCCTTATGACTGTTGTTTCTTCTTTTATCTCTTTCTCTTCGTAGAAAGATGTTGGGAAATGTGTTCATTTAGTGAAAATGTCGCCAGAAGGTTAACGCAAACACTTCCCGAAGAATTCGTCAATTATAACAAGTCGTTTTTGAGTCGAGTGTACCCGGCTGGAAAGCGAGTGGGCTCGAGTAACTTTAATCCACAAGACATGTGGAACTGCGGCTGTCAAATTGGTGAGTTATATTATTAGCCTATTGATGTTGCACGCTAGACATATATTTGTAGTTGAGTGTTGTATCGGATTGCAGTTCTGGGACTTTTCCGGGGAACGCCATAAATTCTTCCATTGATTATTACATAGTAATGCCGGACAATGGGTCAAAATTCGTTCTTCAAAACAGTCCCATGCTGCAGTTCGAGACAACACTGACCCAGTCTCTAGCACAACCTTCGCTTTTCACTTCACTTCAAATGATTGTCGTTCATTGATCAAACTTAAGGATAGAATGTTTCCGGTCGTTCAACTCTAAGCAATGCCAAAGAGAAACAACTACCTTTAAACTACTTTGAAATTGTTCCAGTTTGTTTAGTGTGCCGTACGTTGCGAGTTAAGACACTTTTTCAGGTTCATAAAGCTAAGTTTCGTGTTTTTGTTCTCCACAAAAAGTTGATCATTTGACGTTTTCGTTTTTTGAAAAGGCAGAGAATGACCAAAATTTAAAGCGCAAGTGCAGAGCATTTTTTGTATCGTAACCTATGGTTCTGTTCTCGCTGCCTTTGCCTTTGTGGTTACTTAACCTCCTTGTTGTGTTGTGTAATTCTTTATTTCCCGGTTTTTTTCTTATTTCATCTCCAGTGGCACTAAATTACCAAACGCCCGGTCTTATGATGAACTTAAATGATGGTAAATTTCTTGAGAATGGTGGCTGTGGATATGTTTTAAAACCCTCGGTCATGAGAGAAGGTAAGGAAACAAATCAACTTGATCCCAAGAGAAGGCAACTTGGGAAACCACTCGCACGCTGGCGTGTCATTTCGCACACTCCCTATTTTTTAGCGTGTCATTTTAGCGGGCCCTTGCATTCCCCTTATTCCCTGACAATCCCGTAGAGGGTCACATTTGCTGAATCGGATACAAAATCCAATGATCCACCCCGCACGTGGTTTGTCGTGCAAGTTTTGTTTTGAGGTTTGATTGTCTCAGCAGATGCCTTATTGACATTTGAGGTGTAAATGATAACTCTATTTTTGTGGTTCTTCTTCAGAAGTGGCATATTTTAACCCCAATACAAAGGATGTCATTCCAGGTGTTTCACCGCAAATTCTTCAAGTGAAGGCGAGTGAATAGTCTTTCTTTTGGGATGTGTGACAGTCTCTTTAGCAGTCTCTCCTGGGACAGAGCACGTTGCATCAAGAGCAGGCTGGACAAGAGTCGCGGAGCAACGTGACTACGCGTTTGTCCTTCCCAATATCCTCCGCGCCGCACATTGCGTTTTCAAAGTAGACCTTTATCGCTTTAAATACTAAATGGTAGGAACTGGGAACGAGCTTTGGGGGTGTGATGCGAAAAATTCAAAATTCTCACGGTACAGTGCTTTTTGTCATGCATTATAGTTATGTTAGGGCAACTATAATTTATAGTTCTCTTCATTGTAAATACTAAAGTAGGACCACTAAGTTTTGCTGGGAGCTAATTACATCTGGTGTCCATCTTGTGTTTTATGTTCTTTCCTGTTCAAGTTAGTCAACTGTTCTCAATTCCACCGTTTTCTTTCAATTTTAGGTGATAAGTGGTCAACAGTTTCCCAAGCCAAAAGGCTCGACAGCCAAGGGTGACGTAAGTTTCGTGCTTTTTTATTGGTCATGTTTATTTTGTGTCTTGACAATGTTGACCTTGCCTACGTGTTAGGTGGCGCTCAAAATACTCTCAAGAGGAAAGACCGGGTGCGTGCGAGGGGAGCGCGAGGGGCTCGCGAGGAAGGAAAGAAGGATCGAAGAGATAATCTTCCTCCACCTTCCCTTACACCTCGCGTTCTCTTGCGCCTGATTTCACTTTCACAACACCTGCTTTTTAAGCTACAATCGGCAACAAAATTGGTTGAGACACTTTGCCTTTAAGGGCCTCTCTAACGTTTTGCCAACTTAAAAAAGAGAAACTATTTATGTTCTCTTCCTTACCCCCTCCACGTAATGTTGTGCTGCTGTTCGAGCTACCTGTAGATTGACCATGTAGTTGATCCGTTTGTAGAAAACAACAAACATCCCAACGTTGAATGGAGGGGAGGGGGGAGGGATGAGTATTGTTTTGTTCTCCAAAGGACTCCATTTGAGGACATGTCTTGACAATGGGCCATTTACACGATGACATCATTTACTACTACGACCAGAATCCATCAGGGTTTTCCTTTCTTGTGCAAATTACGGCTTTTGTCCTTTAAATCTCGCTGGGATTACCAAATTTAAATATGACAAAAAAAACGAAAAGGATTGTGGTCGTAGTAGTAAAATGACGCCATCATGCAATTGGCCAATTTTGTCGCCGATTGTAGTAATGACTGTAAATGCCCTCTTTTTGTGCAGGTGATTGATCCGTTTGTTACAATCGAGATATTTGGTATCCCAGCTGATCTTTCACAAGAGCGGACCAGAACTGTTCCTCACAATGGTAAGAACCGCGGCAACGAAAATTGAGCTTTGCTTGTACATTTTCATTAACTGCTTCGCGGGAATCCCATACATGAATAGTCCAGTAGTATCTTGTAGTTGTAGTCGTGCAATAACTTATGCTACTTGTTTTATCAAGGCTAATACCACTCGGCTGACCTTCGTACTTTACATTTGTCAAACTCATTAATAATTCATAAAGAAAATTAAAAGGAAATTAATGTTTAATGAGTGTTTGGATATCGGATGAAAAACTGCTCATTTTTGCATCCTTAATTTCTCCTTCAAAAATGATTTTGTTTGAGAAGAAATATCAAACATTCGACACAGTGTTTCATCACCAGATGAAACACCTCGAAGTTCGTCAAAAATACTCCGCTACGCGTCGTATTTTCAACTCTCTTCTCAGTGTTCTCTGGTGATGAAACACTGCGTCTCATGTTTGATATATTACATAAAACTTTGCCCCGGGATGGGTTTCATACGTGTTTAGCACTTCTTGATGTAGCTTGCTAAGATAGGGTGAATCTTTTCCGAAAGAAAGACATGGGAAACTTTTTGAGAATTTCTTTAATTTCAGTCTCCGCTTTCATAAGGTATATTCACAATAATGCTTCGAGAAACATTTTGAATGATCAAGTTCTCTTTCCGACAGGTTTTAACCCTGTATTCGACGAAACATTTGAGTTTCATATCAATCTTCCTGAATTAGCCTTGGTGCGGTTTGTGGTGCAAGATGATGACTTCATTGGTGATGGCTTTATCGGGCAATACACCATTCCGCTCAGCTGCATCCAACCAGGTGAGAATTAGGAGCGGACACTTCCTGCATTGTGCTAATTACCTGAAAAGATGGGATCAATCTAGGTTTCTGGGAAACTGCCCACCTACCCCTCTACTAAGCCAACATTAACACTTACTTCTCACTTAGGGCAAAATGTTGGCTTAGGCCTTAGGGGAGGCGTAGGTGGTCAGTTTCCCGGAAACCTAAATTGATCCAAAAAGTGAACCCTTTCATTTTTTTTAAGTCAGTAAGCCTTAGTTGGGACTTTCATATAACGCAAAGAATCGCTATTACGACCTTGAAACTAATTTGACAGCATGGCAAATGTAAGATAACTAACCCGCAGACAATTAACCCCACACTACCAACGGCTAATCTTAAAACACGCATGTTACTTTGCGCTATTCGGGTTCGCCACTCGCCCGCCCACGCGCTTACTCATGCGCTCGGCTAAGACTAACTTCAGGTGAAAGGAGTCTTATGCTTTAAAATTAGAGAGCTTTAGTTACTAGAGACCTTTAGATTCGAGGACGAGGACGACTACGAGTACGAGATTTGACTTGAAGTTTTTTCGCGTATTATCAAAATATAGACTCTCCGGAAAGCTTTATTTTACCGTTTTTCACTAGAAAAGTTAGCATTGTTATTTGATATTTCGTTTTCGCCAGCACGACATTCGCGCGAAAACTCGTAGTCGAATGACGGCGGCTACCACGTTTTCCCGCCAAAATGACGCTGGCTCACGCGCGTATACTACTCAGTATTGAGAAAATCTCGTACTCGTAGTCGTACTCGTCTTAGAATCTAAAGCTCTCTACTGAGATAAGGACGACTACGAGGGCGAGATTTTCTCAATACTAAGTAGTGCACGCGCGTGAACCAGCGTCAATTTGGCGGGAAAACGCGATCGCCGTCATAATTCTTCTGCGGGTTTGAATATGTAATAGCATGATTTGTAGTGATATTTGGCACAAATACCACGAGTAATATTTCAAAATTGTTATACGTAATTTCACGAGCCGTTAGGCGAGTGAAATTTGAGACAATTTTGAAATATCACGAGTGGTATTTATGTCAAATATCACGTACAAATCATGCTATTAATTGTTTATACTACTACCAGCAAAAGGTTTGTAACTAAAATACCACTCCTCTAAGCCAAACACATTGCAGAAATTTCTCGTGTAGTAGTATAATAGCGAAAATGCCGTAGTTGCGGAAACAAATTATAAAATGTTAGAAGTCTAATCATTTTGCGATTGGGAGAGACCTTCAGTAACCTCCTTCAATGAAAATATCCGTGCTAACTTTCTGATTTAAATGAAAGGCACAATGAAGCCTTCCAAGGTGTATATTTTTTTTAAAAAAACGCGAAAAAGCTTTAATTGAATTCTCGTCCTGGAATGTAAAGGTCTCTATAAGAATTTCTCGAGGCAATGGCGGGAGTTAAAGCTGTCACTTCAATGCAGTATACTTGCATCTGCATACACAAACTGGTTTGTTTAGTAATGTATTCATTTTTTATTAATGCTTACTCTACATCTCAGGTTATCGTCATGTGAAACTCTTGTCATCTCAAGGAGAAGCCCTAGATTCCGCCACCTTGTTTCTGCACTTGACTGTCACCAATCTAAACGACGCTGTAGCTGTAAGTCTCTCCAAGCATGGATTAGTAATTCTCCTTACTGATTGCCACAAATGACCTGCTCATCACTAGAGTTCACAGTACTGAGTAGCTCAGTGGTTAGAGCATCCACTAGTGTCTGGAATGTCGTGGATTCAATTCCCATCTGGAACTCAGAAAAAACTCAGAAATTTTTTCTGAGTTATTCTTTCCACACATATTATTCTATTTAATGTTGATTGCCATACATCTTTTTTTTTCACTTTGGTGTCAGGGAATTTGATTTTTCATTGATATTGTTTCTCTGTTCCGTGTGGTTTTAATATGCTCTTGATGTTGTGTTATTGTTTGCAGCAAAAACCAAGGAAAGCATCTTTAAGGAAATCGAAAAAGGCGCGTGAGGTAACTTAGCTTTCTGTTAATTTGCAGAACTCATTGATAACAATAATAGCTAACTTGCGTCTTTGTCGTAATTCCTCAGAGCAACCCCGCTCAGAGCGAGAATCCCCAGCTAAGCACTGGTTGTTGTTGTTTTCTCGGGAATAGTGCTCTTAGTCTTGCTATTTCTCGTCTACTTACTCAAATGATTTCTTTAGTTTGTTGCACACTGTGTACACTCAATACTGGTTGTGTATTTTTCCGCGCGTGTAATGTTTTCCCGCGTATAACACTGTTGTAATGCTGACCTGCGCTCAAAATGGCTCTAGTATGTTGGCGCGCGTATCACTGGTACATAGTTTTCCAATGCCCAGCGGACATGACACAAAACGCTCTGGGGACGGCACAGTTCAAATAAATACGGTTCTTTCTTCCTCTTAGCAACAGTATACTTTAGCGTTTCTCCACGTTTAGCATTACAACTAGTATATGCAGTGCTCTGCTTAGCGGCCAGCCCTTTAATGTGAGTGGTTGGTGGTGAGTTGTTCCTTTCCGATATTAATTTCAAAGATCTTTGATCATGTATTGTGTAGTGACCTATACATTGTCGTATGTTTTAGTACACAAGTATGAAGACGGTTGGAGTCAAAGCGGTTGATGATACGTTTAAAGTGAGTATAGTTACCTTTTACTCCTTCAACAGCAACAACATTTAACGGTGAATTTATTCCGTAACAGAGCAAGGCCCGTACTCTTCAAAGTCTGCCAAGCAGGCCTGGGTACTAACTCAAAGCACGCTGCTCCATTGATAAGGCACTTACAAACACACTGACTCTGTGGAGTAAAAGCGACTCGGGGCTTTCTCTCTTGGTTATAAAGCGAAAAAAATGCGAGAAAATTTTAAGAAAGAAAGTCGCGTAAATGGTTCAGTAGAGCAATTTCTGCTAAGAGTCAAAGGTAATTTAAGTCATTCATTTGCTGTGTTTTTTGATTGGCTGACAAACCTGGCACTAAATTCTTAACCAATCAGAAGTAAAATCAAAACCAATCGTGCCTTTCTAATGGCGTGCAATTTCCCGCTTTTGGCCGGCGTTGGCTAAAAGTATTTGCTGTTAGATCTGATTTTTTCCTTTAAATTCTGGGAGAATCGTAATTGGCCACAGTAATTTTAAATTCATTTGAAAGCTGCTTCAATCTTTTTTTCTGTTGTGTTTCTCCAATCAGGTGGCTATTCAACCTCTCAGGGATGGCACAGATCTAAGAGAAAATGTCCAAGCGTCTCTTGGAAATTTCAAGGTAATTCTTTTCTTTTCAACTGATTATGCTTGGTGGCATGTCTATGATATTATGACTTCGGTCCTTATTCCAGTTTATCCCTCACTGAAAAAGTGTTGTAGATTTTCTTAGTACAGATCGTTAGTAATGGCAAGGGTATACTAGAAAATGGTCCTAACTGCATTAAACAGAAACGTAATATTTCATTTTACTTAAAATCGAGTAATTTTCGCTCCTAAATTTAAGGATTTACATTCTAACACAGCACTGCCTTCTTTCTAAAGGGGTGCGGCGCGTACTGGAGTGAATGCCGTTTCCCCAGACACCCGTAGTAGCTGAAGTTATTTGCAGGAGATTGCATTAGACCAGATCAGAGTTGGGTCGTCACGCAGCCAAAATGAGAGTTTTTCCCAGTAACTACTCAGTACCCTGTGTCATTTTACGCTCTGTTTTTTTTTTGTAGGAAGTCTGTGGCGTAGCGCCCCGATCAAACCTTAAGCAGTGTATCAGACTCTTGGCTTCTCGACTGGACTTAACGTCAGAATTCATGGCTTTGGGCCTTGTTATGAAAGATGAGGTACTGTTCAAGACATTTTCACTTCTTGTTATAAATAGGCCAGTTTGGAATTATCAAAATTCATATACTTGGAGAATAATGGAAAGAAATGAATTCAGTTTATCCGTAAATCTCACTTCAATGTCCTTTGTTATTCCCCTCAGTCTCGAGAAGAGATGAAGGGAGACCACGGTTATGTTATCTGTAAAACGAACAAGTTGGTCATTTCACGTGTTTATTTACAGAGGACGACAGACAAAATGTACCAAAAGTGTAACGCACTTGCAGAGTTGTTGTTTTGCCATCTAAACCTAGCTATAGGTTTTGTTTTTGTCTGTTTGTTTGTTTGACGGTCCCCTTGCCCTGACTGTCGTAGTTTTTTATGGGTCGGGTGAAACGCCGTGTTTCATATGATCCGAATTTACTGGATTACAGTTTGGGTCGACCTAAATTATTAAGTTCGCCCGTTGGGTAAAACGGCCGTACATTTAAAAATCCAGAACTGGTCTTTTCGCTGAGCAGCTTTGTAAGACAAATTAAATTGAGTTCTGCTCATTTAAAGTAAGGCGTTTGGCCTAAGGTCCCCATTTACTTGTTTTTTCAAAGTTCATCTTTTGTTTTACAGTATCCCTTTTTTGAGGCACACGGAAGCTTACCCGAGATGTTGAAAAAAGCCCTGACAGCGATAGAGCAGGTGAAAAAATTAACTTTCCTTTCCAGTTTTTTCAATCCTCTTTTTTTTATTTTTTACAAATATTGTTTCAACACAACTAGGTCAATGTTCTTGGTAGCTACTTTAGAACCCTCGTATCTCAATGAGAAGGTTACAAGTTACAAGCCCAGGGTGCGGGTCCAGGATAAAACCTGATCGTTAATCGATAAGCTGCACGCGCGTGCTTCGTACCGCGGCGTACCGCCGAAATATGGGCCCGTTACACTTCAAGTGTGAATCATCCGGTGGATAATTACCTAACTATTGAAGAACCTGTTAATCGTTGTCTGTAAAACGGTAAAACCTGGCCTGTATCGGTGAGTGGGGCATGCGTTACTGAAATTCTTCACTAGTAAATCGCCGAAAGGGACATGAAAACAAGGAAATAAGCGAATACTACCTGTGAATTTCACAAGAATTAGCTGTTATTTTTTAGTGAAGAAAAGTTAAGTAAACGTTTATTCTTTTTTCAGGTAGTTCAAGATTCCAAAGCATTGATCGAAAACTGTGATTCTGTACACGAAAGGGTAAGGCATGCTGTTTATTTTGCGCGGATACCAGTTCAGCCTTGAAAAGGGAGCTTTGGAGATATGGGTAGGGATGGTCGAGTTGGAATACGTGGGCGAGGAAATAACTTGACTAACTTTGTGATGGGAAACAAAAGGGAACGTGAACGGTAAAATGTGTATTACGCGAACCCTCACGAGTGTCGGCTTAATAAAGGTCCGTTTCACCAAAACTGTGGCAAGAAAAATGGGGTTTAGTACATCGTAAAACGCACTGTGTGACTGTCCACTTAATACAGGGTCCGCTCTCCTACAGATTTTCTCATACAACTGAATTTAAACATTTTAATCACAGCAAAATATAAATGGTTGAGAGAAACTAGATAAAAAAAAGGCAGTAACTGCATGATTTAGAGAATGGAAAGTCCCTTGGACTTTTTTGCAATTATATTTTCTTTATTCTTTACCGTAGCTTGTTCAGTGCGAGAGAGCTGGCCTTGAATGGCATGTAAGTTGAATTGGTTTTTATATCTCTTTATCTTTATTTAAGCAAAACTCAATCTAAGTACGGACTCTGAGTTTCTTTACATGAATCCACAACAAGATTGGGAACTCTTTTGAGTCCAAACTCGAAACAGCTCACCTCGAGAGTATTATCACATGACCTACTTTTGAGAATACAATACGCTTAGGTAAAGAGGTCTATTCCTTGTATGTCCTAAGAAACGCATCCTTACAGATGGATTTTTCCGAGTTCTCATTGGATAAAACTTCTTACGCGATACGACTCAGGGAAAAGAATAGTTTGACTCAAATCAATCCATGGTGAGGTGGTCATTCGGATGAAACGGTCCGATTTATAGAGCGCTTTTTAATTGCCTAATACTAGTATAGTCTGTTTAGGTTTTACTTTGTAAGATAGTTTTTGATTGGTTGTGAGAAATCATGCTACTTTGTCAGCAACCAATCAGAAGTTACTTTCGCTGACGCGTTTTTCCCGCGCTTAGCTCTGGCTGCGCGGCCAATCTGCTTTGATATGTGATTGGTTCATTATCCGTTTGCTATAATTAGCAGAGTGTCAGAAAAAAAAAAACCTTAAAATCTTCTTTTACAGGAAGAATTGCACAACGCCTGTGTTAAAGAGGGGATAAAAGGAAAGCGACTTACAAAGGTAACCTTTTTGTTGCAGCTTACTCAGTTTTTATCCATAAAGGATTTTAAACGGTTTCCTATGTTTTTGATGTGCGGTTCAGAAATATTCGTGAAGCCACAAGGGCGAGATTTTGATTTTCCCTCGGCTCATTTTCGTTCTTTTTCGCAGGCGGTATTTCTTTGGAACATCCGGGTGTTCAGGCACTCTTGAACGCGGCGGAATGCCAGGAATATCTTCGACAGGTAACTTAAGTATATAAATACTATTTGAAATAACCGGCCTTTTTCGCAGAAGTTGCTTTTTATGCCTCGAAAACCTGGTTTACTGCAAAGTCTTTGATCAGGGGCACCCAACGAGAATATAGTTCAAAACCACTTAAACATAGCATTGTTAAACGTGTTTTAGTATTTAAACGGTGGATATGGGCATATTTTTATCCCCTATAAATTTTTCATCTGTTCGGATTTCCTAGCTGAAAGTCTAGTGATCCGAAAATTATAGGGATCAAAACTTACCCGTTCGAAAATTTCAGCCAGCGAAAATTCTAGGTGACCTTTTTAGGGTAAAAATCCGATAAAAATTGGCAATTTTACCATTTTTTAGATGTTCGAAAATCCTAGGAGAGGCGAGCAAGCAAGAAATTTTACAACAAATGTTCCGAAAATTCTAGATCTCAAATCGTCTTCCGAACAGATATTTTCCCGAAAATTGTCGTTGGGTGCCCCTGTTTGATGTGAAAATGATTTTCTTTGTTTGAGCGATTGAAGGGAGTTGGTGGCCGTGACAATTTCCCGCCAAAAACTGGGTGTCGCGCTAGGATCCAGTCTTCCATCGTCTGATTTTTCGGTAGTCATGCAAAAGAAACTCATTTTCCGAAGAAAGCTTTTTTCCTTGGCTTATTTTGAAAGTGAGAGTTTTGGAACTCGGAAATGACCTACTGGCATTGAAGAGATGAAGGTTTCCCAGACTTCTCTTAGTTTTACATTTTCCCATTCTGCCATGAAAGCCTGTGATCATTCCTTGATAGGGACGAAATATACTTGTTTCACGTTAGCCATGTAATAGGATATTGATTCGTAAGATTTGACACTCGTGAACGGAACGTTAGCCTTTTAAGGTTACGTCGGATCATTTTTCAATTTTGTGCTCAGTGCCCTGGCCATTGAATAGAACTAAGGCTGGAGGCGACCTTCTTCCTTCTTTTCATGTGCAAATCGTGTTATTCTCATGCTAACAAGCCCGCGAACAGGATCATGTACATGTCATCTCCAGCCTCGCTACTATTCAAAGGCCAGGACACTGAGCACACAACTGTAGAATTGTCTTTTGTAGCCTCAAATCATAATTATGATTACTTTTATTGTCAGATACAAGAGGCAACGATCTCCACCGGTCTCGTGAAATCTGTTGGGTGTAACCTCTGACTCGCCCTTACCTACTGTCTAGATATTTACCCATGTACGCTGTAAATACTTCAATAACAGTTAATGAACATACTGAAGACGCCACCGCAGTGTTCTTGGTCGATTGTGGTTCGATAGCAATTTAGATGTCTATTTATAGTGTAGGTGTGTAATCTTTACTCTTGTCTTGCGCCGGTGTGCGTTAAATTTGTGTAAAATTTCTATCCGCCTTTCGCACTGGCAATGAGCGTTTTTCGGTGTGCTTGTGTACATTTAAGATTACCCAGCGTAAAAAGAAAAATCTAATGAAGCCTCTAATGATTTCAGAGCGTACTTAAAGAAAGGGATAATAGATATAAGAAATAGAACGTCATATAACAGAGGATTGTAAATAGCCCTTTAAAGCGGAGTCATTATTACGTTAAAAGGTGAAAACGGTTCTTTCAAATATCCATAGGATCTTGACTTTTATCAGCCCCGAGTTGGGAAACGCCACCTAATATGGTTTTCCTGTATAGAAATTGTTGATTTCAAAATGGAGTCTCACCTTGCTGCGGCACTGAACAAAAAATGGTGGTGGTACAACTGCATGCATTTGCCACATTCAGCCATATTTGGTAACTGTTCACAAAATTGAGCGAAATATATAAATAACGTCTTAAACCATAAAAGGAACATTTAAATAACTCAGCAAATGCAAAAGGAGACACGGATGGGTCAAAATTGAAGAAGATTAAAACGGATTGCAGGTGGGGTTTTTGACAGAAAACTGTTCTTAACAAGCCGTTTTTGAAAGTTTATCTCTCTTGTTTATAGTTGTAAATATAAACGCTTGTGAGAGACACATGAACTAGACTACCGTGACACTGTCCATTTGAACGAGGACTCTTGTGTTGCGCTCACTATCAGGGGCGGATCGAGGATTTTTTTTAGGAGGGGGTGCACTCGTCTCTTGCCAACACCAATAAACCACATAGTTTTTTTTTCGCAGAATACCAGTTGTATTAGAAAACCGCAGGTCATCTCGGGGGGGTGCACCCCTGCACCCTCCCCCTAGATCCGCCCATGACTTTGAAGTTAACCGTGAAGAGTAGAGTTGTATACTTAGATCTTTCGTTCAATGCTTAGTTTTAGGCTACGATCACACGGCATCGGGTGAATTTTCGACCGGCTGTGACTTCCTTCACACGGAACTGTTCAATGTTTCCGTTGTTTCCACGAAACTGACGAACCAGGTTGAATTTTAACTCTTGTCAGTGGTTTTACCATCTGCTTATGCGCAGAGTGCTGCTTTAGCAAATCCAAAATGGCGTCCCCCAGCGTCTCACCTATTTGACCTCGATTTTAGCATTCAAATTTTTGAACAGCTTCGCACGGTTAAGAACGGTTAAGGTGGTTACGTGTGAACGCGACACAAAAACATATGAATTTTCAACCGGTCGAAAATTCATCTAGTACACATGTTAACCATATTTCGTTCCAGTTGAAAATCCAACGACAATGGTTCGGTCATGTTGCTCCGTAACTTAAGATAGTCAACAAGTGTATATTTTTTTAATTTTCTGTACGATTTGGTGAAACTGTAAAAAAAGTGTGCCTATCTGAGACCTAATTTAGAACAAGATAGATTATTATTAATCATATATAGTCATAAATCGCAACATTTCTGACTCCTTTTTCTTGTATTTTTTGTGATTATTTATTTAATTTCATATATTGTAATATTGACCCCCCACCCCCTTTCCCCGAAAAAATAAATACTGAAATAAACAAATAAATAAATAAACGTATATGTATGTTAAATCCCTACAGTGGAAAATTAAACTAGCGACCATTCGAAATAGCCTGTTCTGTTGAGAAGAAATCACAAGTGATGATCTGGTGAAGTACAGTATTTCAATACGGTTGGAACTACTAGATGGATACCCAGAAAATTGGGTTCTAAGTTAGAGTGGTAACGAGACGAGACTAAGATGATTCATTGGCTGTTTTTATTTACAAATGGTTTCCGGGAAAAATATTTGGGTCCCCAACCTCCATGCAAATACAGTGGGGGATCCAGGGGAGGGGCCCGGGGGAAGGGGCCCGCCCTCCCTTATTTTTGGACCAAAATGAGGCCCGAAGGACCGAAAAAAAATTTTTTTGGACGCCGGGCCCCCCTTATCTCAGGGTCTGTCTACTCATTTAAGTATGGAGTAAATAAACTAAACAATGTTAAATCTTATAAATATCTGGGAATGACACTGAAACCGTATGGAAATTTTAGTTTAGCTAGAGAAGAGTTAAAAAAACTTGGGCTTAAGGCACTTCATAAACTAAGAAAAGAGATGGGTGACAACTTTAGAGAAAATATTATGCTGACGATTAAGCTATTCGATGCTCTGATATCCCCCATACTTCTCTACGGAAGTGAAATTTGGGGTGTTGACTGTAACGACCAAATAGAAAAAGATTCCGCAGAACTAGTTCAAATTAAATTCTTGAAATGGTTGCTAGGTGTTAATAAATACCACAGCAACATTGCATGTAGGGCTGAAACAGGAAGATTCCCAATGAAATCGAAGCACAATATAGGAATTTTAAGTTCTGGCTAACTCTAACCAAACACCCAAAACACAAATTATCACAGGTGGTTTATAATGATATAAAGTCGAGAATGAATAAGGAATTATGGAGCCAAAAAATGAAACACGTATTAGACCAAATAGGGCTGGGATACCTCTGGACAAAAGCACATGAAAATGACATAGGAATCTTGAACATTATCAAACAAAGACTGAAAGACATCGAATTACAAAGATGGTTAAGTGACGTAAACAATGACGTAAGAAAAGACGCCAACCAAAAGAACAAACTAAGAACCCTCCGAAAATTTAAAACAATAGAAAATTATAAATGTGAAGATTATCTCCGTCAAGTCACCTACGTCCGACAACGGATAACTCTAACTAAACTCCGTCTAAGTAATCACAAATTGGCGATAGAGACAGGTCGGTATGTAAGAAGAAACCAGGAGATAGGATCTGTCCTTTCTGTAAAAAAGACAGAGAAGAGGAAATACACTTTTTAACTCTGTGCCCTGTGTATCAAGAAAAAAGAAGTACTTTATTTGAATCCTTAAACAAAGTATACAGAATATCAGTAAACAGAATGGCACCAGATGATGTTTTTCTGTCGTTAATAAAACTCCGAGCAAGAACAAACAAGTGCAAAAGTTAATTGCAAAATACGTATTCGACTGCTATGAGAAAAGAAGATCATTAGTTGTTTAGGTTGACATCGATTATAGTTCCACTAGTGTGCATTTTGTATTATGATTTTAAATTATTTGGATAAAGTTCGATATAAATAGGACTGTATAAGACTCCAAATAAAACATTGTCTTGTCTTGTCTTGTCTTGTCTTGAGAGCGCCGCCCCCCCCCCCCCCCCCTTTATCTGAAGCTCTGGATCCGCTACTGAAATAGACCCTAAGTTAGTCTTGTTATTTATTTTTAAATAGAAGTAATAAAACAGCTAATGGAATTAATTATCATGGTGATCTCTTAAGCACGATTCGGAGGTGCATTCCATGCCATTGCCCCACGATAAGCAAAAGCTCCTTTTAATGATTCCGTTTCAGGTTTGGGCAACTGCATGTGGAACTTACCACAGTCGACTCCAGATAACTCGAACCTTCAAGGGAAATCGAAAAAAGTCCGACTTATCAGGAGCTCGAAGATTTTAGCCGTGAGTAAGGAAAAAACAGTTTTTACTGCACAGTGAGCATTTTAATCACATTTAATTGTAGAAATGTTAAGTGAAAATTGAACTGATACTTCTAGATTATAAATCAGAACGTAACGTAACAAAACATTGCCTGAATAGAGCATTCACTTTACTTTTTGAGAAGTAACGATGTTTCACGTTAGATTTGTGACAAACACCATCATCCTCCACTATCGATCCAGTAGTAAACTACATGCCTACAACACGTCAATGGGAAATTCAAAATTCAATGTTTCGGACGCCAAGATACTGTTTTTTCCTTACTTTTTAAGGGCTCAAAACATTGTTTAAGTTTACCACGTCCGGCGGTATACTTTTTGCTCTTATCCTTACGGGCGTTTTTGAGCAACACTTTTGAAACAAAACTTCTGGCCCCTATACGGCTGCTTTGTACAGGACATTGCCATTATAGTTGTTCTAAAACAGGCAAACTAAAGTAGTGCACTTATCATGGCTAACTTGATGTTTAATTTTACTTCTTTCCTGAGTTTTTAAACCAAAAACAACTCACGCACAGACTTAAAAATTACAAAAATATTAAAAAAGACTCGGCGCCTGAAAGGGATTTGGAAAAGAGATATCTGCGATTAACCGCCCCTAAACATTTGATGGAACCTTTTTTCCGCGTCTTTAGCTCGTCTCACACGAACTTGCTGCGACGGTTTTCCAAGGGCGGAGAAGGAAAATCCTTTTCTTGTTTGCCATTGTCCAAGCTGGAATTTTACGTTTACAGGGAGCAGCCGATCTCATTGGCTAATGGAGGTCACATGACATCATGTTCAAATGCGCCCAACAAATTATATAAAATATAAAAACCTTCATAAATGCTTAGCGCGAGGGAAAAAAATATGTGTGGCTATACAGAAAATTACGTTGCGGAGGACTAAATTTTTTGAAGCCAACTCGCTCCCGACGAAGAAATAGCTTTTGAAATGTTACCTTTCCAACCTTGAACAGTGGTAATAAGACACAATTTTTGTGTTTGGTTTGGATTCAGGCTACAGAAAGTGTTGTTTGGTGACATGATTGTGGTAACGATCGAAGACTATTTCTCTCCTCGTTAGAGGTAAATTCATAGTTAGATATGATTTACTGTTGAATGCTTATGACGGATAAAGATTTGTGACACGTCCGCACGTATGCGAATATCTTTGAAAACGGAGAAGTTTTTTCCTCCGTTTTAGCCTTTGTCCTCCGTACCAAACATATACGGAGATTTCGGGCACCGAAAACGCCTGTTTTCACTCCAGAAAAAATTCCACTCCAGAGTGGAGTATTTTTTTTTAAACGTCGAATTCTCGTTTGCGTGTGGGCGGACGAAAAGGAAGGTTTTCGAATACGATGATGTCATAGATCATAAACTACTAGCATGAACCACTGTAAAAAATACCATAATGTTCTTTTCAATGCTTCTTTGGGTAGTTTTCCAGGTAAATCTCACTTTTGTTACTTTGCAAGAACTGCACCGTACCATGCGTAAGCTTCAGGGGCACCCAACGGATCTGTTCCTCAAAATATATGCTCTACAGGAAACTTTTTGCTGGCTGGCAGGTTGTGGAAAAATAATTTGTCTTTGGAGGGAAAGTGTTCCTGGGAAATGAACAATTTAGGGTGTCTGAGGGGATTTGATGTATAGAATAGCTGCTATGTGCTTGTTCTCAGAAACCTCTTCCCCCCTCCCCCTCCTCCCACTGAAGGGTTAATTTTGCCCTTAGGCCACATCAAAATTCATGTGCCTCCCTCCCCCCTCCACTGAAGGACTGAATGTTGCCCTTTCACCACACCCAAACTAGTTCAAACTGGCCAGTAATGTCTGGAGGTAAGTCTGCTGGGAAATTTCCCAGTAAGTCTGGTTGCAGGTTGTAGGTGCACCTTGCTGGCTGGGAACTCTTCTCTCAGTCTTGCTAGGAGTGAGGAACAAATACATTTTTCCCAGCAATTTCCCAAAATGCTTAAAATGGCTTCAGAAAGCTTTATTCACGCTTCGTTGTTGTTTTCAGGGTCTTTTTCCCAAAATTTCCGGTTGGGTGCCAATGAAGCTTCCTCAAAATTTGCATTTCCAGCGAGTTGACATACGGGCGCACAAGTGCTGACGTTAGCTTGATTGTAGTTAAGCTCCTTTTTTCGTTGGGTTCAGAAACCTACCTCTTTAAGCTTAAATGATTGCTTATTTTTAATAAATTAAAGAAAGTCAAATAATCCCTCTGCGGTGAAGCTGAGCCTACGATAAAAAGAGTATTATGGTATTTTTTAAAATGGACTATTTCACACTTTCTAGAAGGGATGCTATCGTATTTTCATCGTTTTAGCCGTTTCATGTGGACGGGCGAAAATGATTGAAATACGCTACGTGTGGACGCGTATTTTTTAGGTGGAGGAAAAAATCTCAGTTTTCAAAAATATCCAGATGCATGTGGACAGGGCCTTTATCTATTAAATTCCGTTGATTTGCACGAGGACCTCTTCCTCATAACTGTCTAACACTTCTACGACCAACAACAGACATGGTCGATACTTGCCCAACCAAACAAGGCCCGGTTGCTGTGTACATTAACTCCACATTTCCTGCTTGCTGTGATAATGATGATAGAGGCCTGGGTACTTGATCCGTTCAACTTCCAACTGAGCATTCACGACGCGGTCCACTAGGTCCCAGTCTTCTCCACCCCATTTGTACTTGAATTCCTTGGTATTCATTCCTTTCAAAATTAAGCAGTTAAAAAAATACGATTTGTCCCATACAATTTTACGTAAGGACAAGAGAAACAGCTTCATCTCTCTCCTATACAAAAAATTGGAAGCTCACCAGTTTAATCTTTCCCGGCGTAGGCCTCTGGATTATATTTTAAGAGCAGCCTTTTTCGTTACTGATTATTTACACAAACCGTGGTTTAAATTACAATCTGTAAGTTTTCAACGCGAATTTCCTAGCCGCGACCTTTCTACATAAGTCATGAAATAAAATACCTGCTCTATCGTTTGTTAGCTCGAAATGAAGTTGTGGCCCTCTTCAATAGTTCTCCTATTCTTTAAGTAGGAGCCCAAAAAAAAAGTTAGGGACCTTGAGCATTGACGACGAATGGGACGACGACGACCTACCGGAAGTGGCTGAGGCGAGTTGAACGCTACTGCACATCCTCGCTGGTTTGGCGTCCAGCAGTGAAAGTGACTACATTTACTCGTATTTTAACCCCCTCAATCAACTTTCCTGAAAGAAATTTCATCCCAACTGCGTGTTCGACTTTCAACGTATTTGTTCTTTGTATTTTTGTACTAAAAACACCAGAAAATCGATTGATATAGGACTTCGTAAACAAGCACCAGCGAGTCGCATTGAAGCTTTCTTGTTTATGTTTTCTAGCTTTTCGCGAAGCAAAAAGGTTTACAGGTCAAAAAGATGCTAAATCATAATCTGTTCCGCCCTTTTTCTCTCTAAGACTTTGATTTGTCTCGAAACATTAGTAACCTTTGTTTCTAGTTTTCTTTGTAAAGGAGATGGAATGGTCAGACAAACATGTTTTTGTGCTGTATGCCGAGAAGTGTTAGTTATGGAACCCTACCAACATCCGCATAGAAGCAAGGAAAGGGGAGATGTGTGGAACCAGATAACTGTAAACTTGAGTGACCTTGATCACCCGAAATTCAAAGTCAATCAAAGATCGATGAGAGTCAGACTGACCCTGCTGATTACCAAGCATAAAGCGAAAATACGCCAGGAGGAAAATGCCACTGGAATCACTTGCAAAGATACCGAACTAGACCTGGCTCTCGAAGAGATCATTGACAGGAGAAGTTGGTAGACAAAAAATCTCCGAGGTGAAAAAAAAAGAAAAGGAAGAAGGAGCAGCTGGAGAGGAACACAGGCAAAGCACCATGGAACGTTTAGGACAGACCGTGAAAAGACATTTTGAACACTTATCTCTGGAATTTTCTCGCCGTGAACGACGTTCTCGATCCAGTCCTTTCGCGGTGCAGTTCGTCTCCGTCGTCTCTTTCGTCGCCGATGCTTCAGGTCTGTATTAAAGGGAACCTCCACTTCAACAAAAAGATAACTTTAAATCACAGGAAATAACTGTTACAGTCAAGTCAATCTAAAATATTTTTAAAGAAAGCGTTTGTATCCGAAAGAAATAACTTTTAGATTCGCCTATTTTTGTTTTCAAATTTTGCGGGCGTCGCCATCTTGAATAATTGTGACGTGTAATGGTTGCCCTATTGTTATTAAACAAAAGTTCTTTGTGTCAGAACAATAGAGCAACCGTAACGTGTCACAATTATTCAAGATGGCGGCGCCCGCGAAATTTGAAAGTGAAAATAAGCGATTTTAAAATTCACTTTTCCTGATATAAACACTTTTTTAAAGACAAATTTCGAACAAATTTGTTTATCAACAGAATTTTATTCGATTTAAACTTATTCTGTAGTAAGAGTGGAGGTTCCCTTTAATAGGTAACTCACGTGACTCAACTGTGACGGTTGATGATGATGTTCTTTGAACTTACCGCCAAAACGCATCCAGTCCGATTTATATACAGCAAGAAGACCATACCCGTTCATCTGCCAAAAGCCTTGATGATCAATATATGTACTTTGACAGTCTAGACGTCCCACTGCAGGAAAGAAAGCGATTCTTCCTTCTATGGTGTTCTGTTGAAAATAACGAAACCAAACTCGATCTTGTCACTTAAACGTAACAAGAAATCTGACAGTGTTGTTGGAAGAAATTCTCCAACAAAATTGACGATAACGTTTTACTCTAAAATGCAACAGACAATTGACATTTAGATCTTTGAAAACACGTACTGCAAAAACGGTGTTGATATAAAAAAAAAAAATGGGAAGTTATCCGCAATTGCAAAAAAAGTGTATCTTGCTATAGAACGTTTTCAGTCACGAGGCTAACAACTATGCAAATTTGTTGGAACGAGGAAAAGTTTTTACAATTCAGAAAAAGGTTCAATTTCTACAGGATTAATTAACGACACCACGGTGGACGTGACGTCATGCGAAAAGCCCAGTTTATAACAACACGTATGAACTTAAACTGCGTAGCAGGCGCCAGGTTTTTCCAAGGCCGAAGGAAGAAATCTAGGCCTGTAATAAGGTAATTACCGGCGCCTGCTACGTAGGCCAGTATCAACTCACCTTTCGCACGCTGTCCAGAATATCAACGGGCACATCAATGTGAAGATCAAACAAGAACAACAGATCATGCGCACTTTGTACTTGCTCTACAGCTTTGTTCAACGCCAGCGTCTTGTAAAATTTACCGGTCAAGTTGATAATAGTGTGCCTGCTCCTCAGAAGGGCAGTGTCGAACGCTTTGGCCAAGTCGATATCGTGACTCTCAAAATCAGCAACAATAACGTGGAAGTTCTTATCACCCGTTAATAAGCTGGCAACCGTGAGATCATTGATGAAATGATAGACCCATCTTCCCTGATCTTTGACAGGGAGTATTATGTAAACCGTGGCGTTTCTGTTCCACTCGATTCCCTTGGGAAGACATAAACTGTTCGTTCCCTTTTTTTGATACACGTGCTCAGAGAAGCGATATGATTTTTCAGTGTGAGGAAGGCCAAGTTCCAGATCAACTGAATAACGGTCCCCATAAACCGGATCTGATTTTTGTAGAACTTTGTGAATTCTCTTTAAAAAGTAATTCCTGAAAGAAATTAAAATATGAGGTTAAAAAAAGCTAAAAAATTTACAAACATAGACAATACGTCAACGGAACTTTCATGCAAGGAGAAACTAATGTCGCCACCATTTTTTGTTAATTATTCTGAGGTACCCCTCAAAGTTGTACTTTCTAGTTAAAAACAAGGAACTAGTTTTTCTTAAGTCGACAAACAGTTATACTGTTAGCTACATGATGTCTCGTTTTTCACCGAAAGCGTTTTTAGCGCGATGTTCTTACGGTTGAAGGTTGAGTGTATGAACGTATTAATCTTTTCAAATCCAAATGAGTAAGAAAGAAAGAGAAGTATGGGAATTTGAAATCTTTTTGTTTGCGCTCTAGTCTAAGTAATGACTCCCGTTAAGTCACGGAGCCATGTTGAATTACGTGAGCTGTCAACGATTTAACTACGATTAAGATTAAACATATTTGAAGAGTTTCCAGTTCTGTGGAAGTGCATGATTTCTGCTTTGCTCTATAGAGTGTTTTCACTCACGTGGCCAGCATCTATGCAAATTTATTGGAACAAAAGAAAGCGTTTGCATAAGAAAAGAGTTCAACTCCCAGAGGATTGGTTTGGGCCACCAACATGGATTGTTTTGGGACACCAATGGCCGCCGTGATGTCATGTGAAAACACTGTATAACGCACAAGTTACTAACGACCCATCTCTGGCATTGTTTGTGACGTTGGCCACGCAGCCCAGCGAAGTGCCCAGAAGTCGACTATCAAAACACGAACACCATAACAGGCCAGAGCGCCGATTTTAAGTACTAGGCGACTTTGAAAGACGCGTGCTTCACATATTTGTGGCGGATTAGAATGCCGGCTTGGTCAGAGGCCCTTTGTTTAAAACATGGCGGGATACTCGCAGCTTAAGGCAAGCATGTGCCTTGTAGCTGTCAACATAATGCTTTTTAATTACATTGTGTCATAATTAACAAAACCCGATCCATGTTTGATTGAAAGTAATTGTACAAATCTGGTACCAGACAAACCGCTTTTAAAAAACAAAAACACAAAACTAGTTTATGGTTATTTCTCATTAATTTCACTTGATCAAAACAAATATTTACTTTTACAAATATTTTACTTTCAGTTTTCCCGTTTCTTTCAAAACATCCTTCATTTCCGAGCGTTTCACCGTAGTCAATGAAAGATGCGTTTTATCGGTCTTCTTTTTCGCGGGAATATCAAAATTTCCATCTTTCAAAACGCGATGAACCAAAGCTCGCAGGATACCAAAGCGCCAAAGGCTCACGATGCAGTCCCGGTGTTTTGTGAGCATCCGTTAAAAATATTGAACGCCAAAACTATCAAGTTTTGGTACAGCGAGAGGCAGCTAGTTTCTGTACCCAAAGGTTAGTGCATGGACAGGCTATCGAAAGAAAATAAAAGGGACGATTGCCCAATGGATAGCAGGCCTAACTACGCAAAATAAATGTCTCATTGCATCCTTGTCTGCGAGGTTAGTACTAAATTTACACTCTAGAATACATTACAGAACTCAATCAGCAACACTTTGCAAGTAGAATTGGTGATCAGTGTGGGCAATTTATATTTCTAAGGGACGTCCGTCGCACAAAGGCTTAACGCGCGGGGGTTTTTAGTCAATGACTGACATAACAGTTTCCTCAAAATCGACCCAGTTAGAATGCGATAATGTGCGCGTGAACTTTGCCTACAACTGGCAATAAGCTGAATAAACCGGAAGCTGAACACCATGAATAAGTTACCTAATTACATCGCAGGTTCTTTTTCTTTTTTTTCAACTACCGGAGAGGTTTTTCGTGCATTCTGTTGCGCAGTTTGGCAGTGATATTCCTGCAATGGTTTTAGTACTGGTCCCGTTGCCGAAACCTTGCACCAGCAAGATACGGTAATCGAGAGTCGAGAATCGAGAATCGATATTGTACTCGGGACAAGAAAAGGTCGCCGTCCAAGGAACAACTGATGAAAAGCAAGAGCTTCAAGCTGCTGAGAATCGCCAATTCTGGATTACAAGCAGTGAAGGAACTCCTGAGAAGCGTCCAAATTATAAAGGAACTTTCGAGGCAAGTCAGCCACGGTGATTGTCGCACCACGCATAAAGTAGAATAAATTTGTTAGCCTGGTCTTGTCTTTGCCACAAATCACGTAAAACTATAAAGAAGGTACCACTGTGAACTCTGGAAAATGAAAATTCAATAATACTATGGTTGACGACTGACAGTTTAAAAGAGAGACAACCTTCACCTCAGAATCTTGGGCGCGCCGGCTGTAAGCTCCGAGGGAGAGGGTAGCCCCATAATTTGGCCTATTTCAAAACAAATGACAAAACAAAGATGACCTACAATAATAATTTGGATAATGACCGACATTTCAAAAGAGAGACTACCATCACCTCAGAATCTTGGGCGCGCCGCCTGTAAGCTCTGAGGGAGAGGGTAGCCCCATAATTAATTTGGCCTATTTCAAAAACAAATGACACTACAAAAATAACCTACAATAATAATTTGGATAATGACCGACATTTCAAAAGAGAGACTACCATCACCTCAGAAACTTGGGCGCGCCGCCTGTAAGCTCTGAGGGAGAGGGTAGCCCCATAATTTGGCCTATTTCAAAAACAAATGACACTACAAAAATAACCTACAATAATAATTTGGATAAATGACCAACATTTTAAAAGAGAGACTACCATCACGTCAGAATCTTGGGCGCGCCGCCTGTAAGCTCTGAGGGAGAGGGTAGCCCCATAATTTGGCCTATTTCAAAACAAATGACAAAACAAAGATGACCTACAATAATAATTTGGATAATGACCGACATTTCAAAAGAGAGACTACCATCACCTCAGAATCTTGGGCGCGCCGCCTGTAAGCTCTGAGGGAGAGGGTAGCCCCATAATTAATTTGGCCTATTTCAAAAACAAATGACAGTACAAAAATAACCTACAATAATAATTTGGATAATGACCGACATTTCAAAAGAGAGACTACCATCACCTCAGAAACTTGGGCGCGCCGCCTGTAAGCTCTGAGGGAGAGGGTAGCCCCATAATTTGGCCTATTTCAAAAACAAATGACACTACAAAAATAACCTACAATAATAATTTGGATAAATGACCAACATTTTAAAAGAGAGACTACCATCACGTCAGAATCTTGGGCGCGCCGCCTGTAAGCTCTGAGGGAGAGGGTAGCCCCATAATTTGGCCTATTTCAAAACAAATGACAAAACAAAGATGACCTTCAATAATAATTTGGATAATGACCGACATTTCAAAAGAGAGACTACCATCACCTCAGAATCTTGGGCGCGCCGCCTGTAAGCTCTGAGGGAGAGGGTAGCCCCATAATTAATTTGGCCTATTTCAAAAACAAATGACACTACAAAAATAACCTACAATAATAATTTGGATAATGACCGACATTTCAAAAGAGAGATTACCATCACCTCAGAAACTTGGGCGCGCCGCCTGTAAGCTCTGAGGGAGAGGGTAGCTCCATAATTTGGCCTACTTCAAAAACAAATGACACTACAAAAATAACCCACAATAATAATTTGGATAAATGACCAACATTTTAAAAGAGAGACTACCATCACGTCAGAATCTTGGGCGCGCCGCCTGTAAGCTCCGAGGGAGAGGGTAGCCCCATATTTTGGCCTATTTCAAAACAAATGACAAAACAAAGATGACCTACAATAATAATTTGGATAATGACCGACATTTCAAAAGAGAGACTACCATCACCTCAGAATCTTGGGCGCGCCGCCTGTAAGCTCTGAGGGAGAGGGTAGCCCCATAATTAATTTGGCCTATTTCAAAAACAAATGACACTACAAAAATAACCTACAGTAATAATTTGGATAATGACCGACATTTCAAAAGAGAGACTACCAGCACCTCAGAAACTTGGGCGCGCCGCCTGTAAGCTCTGAGGGAGAGGGTAGCCCCATATTTTGGCCTATTTCAAAACAAATGACAGTACAAAAAAGAACTCAAATAATAATTTGAATAATGACCGACATTTCAAAAGAGAGACTACCATCACCTCAGAATCTTGGGCGCGCCGCCTGTAAGCTCTGAGGGAGAGGGTAGCCCCATAATTTGGCCTATTTCAAAAACAAATGACAGTACAAAAACAACCTACAAAAATAATTTGTATTATGACCGACATTTTAAAAGAAAGACTACCTTCACCTCTGAATCTTGGGCGCGCCGCCTGTAAGCTCTGAGGGAGAGGGTAGCCCTATAATTTGGCCTATGACACTACAAAAATCACCTACAAAAATTGTTTGGATTATGACCGACATTTCAAAAGAGAGACTACCTTCACCTCAGAATCTTGGGCGCGCCGCCTGTAAGCTCTGAGGGAGAGGGTAGCCCTATAATGTGGCCTATTAATTCAGTAAAAAGCAAGTAACAATACAAAGGTAACCTGAAATAATAATTTTTGGATTATGATTGACATTTCAAGGAGGCTAAAATGACTGATATAGAAACCATACTGTATCTGTGACGTTGATTATACAGATCGCCAACGCGAACACGAAGATGTTGAAGTGGAAGCTAGAATATCTGGAGTAATCCAGCGTCTTGGGCTCCTTCCAGCGAATAAGATTTTGGCGGGATTTCGACAGTGCTTGGCGGGCTTTTTGGAGAGTGATTTGTCACTGGAGGCACATCGACGCTTACATCGTCTTAAGCCAGAGAAAAAAGACTTGAATCCTTCGCCGTTTGATCAAAAAGGTCGTCCATTGAATCAGATAATCGGTCTCGCTGTTCCTCAAGGGGATGTGAAGTAGAGCTCGAGCTCTCGCCTTCGTTTTCTCCGGCGACTATAAAATGTGCATTGTTGACGGCTTTTCTCAAACGTTCAAATAGAGAAGATTTAAAAATTTCTTTGGTCAGGGTCTTTTCCACGCCGAGTTCCTTCCAAACAGGAGAAAGATGTGCCAGCAGAGAGTGTATTCCTACTTGTGGCTCCACAGTAAAAACTTGATA